GTGCAGCACAAAACACCCAGGAAATCAAACCCCCTGTCAGTGCAGCTGTTGCATCAATTTGTGATTCGGTGTAGGTTGACTGAGTTCCAGAGGGTGAACCGCTCAATGTCTGGATTAACTTCTGTTCAGAAATATGGCCTGGTAATTGCTATAACTAAAATTTCACAATTTAACTTCTCTCTGCAAGACTTTTAGCTACTAAATCAATACACAGAGTTTAGAAAACATAAGGAGCAGCTGCTATTTCCCTGAAATTGGAAGGGGAAAGAGGGGGAGAAGCCTGCAGCTGGGAGCTGGGAAGAGTTACTGCTCCTTATTGATTTAATCCTTCAAGAAGAGATGAAATCAGAAGTCAAGTAAGAACAAAACTATTAATTTTCAAGTTCCTTTTTGTTGGTTAGAAGGCAAAAGTCAAGTCTTCTTTATTTATAAATCTATTGTAAAGAGTTATTGGTCAAAGTGATAAACATAAAAGGATTAGAATAAAGGATAAGATCAATTTAAACAGGCTAAAATGGACTTTTATGGGTCTTTTCCATCGACCAAACTGGCATGGAATGGGAAGGATTGGGTCGCTAAATATTTTGTTTCGATTGTTGAACCAGTACAAGAAACCTACCCGGACCGGGCCAGTGGCGGGCCAGAGCGGGACCCCTTCTGTTGTGGGTCCAGAGATTTTTGGTCTGGGCGGAGGCATAGCGTAAAAGGTCTAGAGTCCTCTGATTGGGGGAGAAATTACGTAACTACCCGCGACAATCCCAGGCGATGGAAAAGAGCTACCAGAGTTCCAGTGATTGGCTGTACTCCTTGTGCGCGAAAATGCCTGCAAGTAATAGCTTTTGGTCCAGTGCGGAGCTACAAATGTTCCTCACCATCATCGGAGATAGCAACAGTCAGGCCGAGCTGGATGGGATGATAAGAAATGAGAAAGTCCTAAAGAAGTTTCTCAGCGCATGGCAGCTGAAGGATTCCAGCGCACCTCCGAACAGTGTCGTGCAAAGCTGAAAAATATAAAATTCTAAAAATTGCTTTGTGCATAAACAAAACTGACAAGTTCACAGGACAACTGACATTTTGTTATCCATATAAACACAAATGTAATTGCCAATGTTGTTGTTTCCAGGTGACCGAAGACGGCGATTGGAAGCACGCACTCAGATGATATTTGATGAGTTGCAGATCGCAGATGGCAGGCAGATGGACAGAATGGAAGGCATAAGCCGGGAGCAGGTTAACTGGATGCAACAAGACGTTGCAGCAGCAAGGCAGCATGAATCACAGATCGCAGAGCGATATTTTGAACATTTGGGTGCCCTAAATGCTGTTCTTGGACTGCTCGCACAAAGAATGGGCAGCTCCTCTGACTTCCTGCCACCACCCAGGCAGTAAGGAGCTGTGTATTTGTCCTGTAATTTTTTTATCCCACGTTTGTCCTTTTTATCAATAAAATTTCAAAGAAAAACAAGGTGTGCATGAATTGTATTGGAAACAATTTACCTCGCAAATTTAAATTTACATAATATATGTAGATTACATTACAGCCCACCTTAAATACATGTTAAAATGGAAAGGTGCAACAGTTTTTTAAAAGTAAAATAGTGTACTTTATTAAGTTCAGAAAATAAAACAAACATTTCAGTTCAAACTACAGGTTTCCAACAGTTAAAAGTGTCAAAACAATAAAAAGAAAAAAACACAAATTGAGGTCAGCTGTTGAAGTGTTGCATCAGATCTTCACGCACTTCACTGCCCTCCTCTGCAACTTCCTGCATATTTGCAACCACTGGTTCATCAGCAGGTGCGTCACATTCTGCATATTCCTCCCCATGGCTCTCACAGATATTGTGAAGCACACAACAGGTCAGCACCATGTATTTAAGAAGCTCTACATCACTGTCGTTTCTCTTCAGAAGACATCGCCACCTACCCTTTAGCCTCCCAAATGCATTTTCGACCACAACTCTGGCTCTGGACGTTTTCCTGTTGTACGTCTGTTGTTCAGCAGTGAAACGACCATTATCTGAAAATGGTTTTAGGAGCCAGTTCTATAGAGGATAGGCAGAGTTCCTGAGCACATAAAAGCCTACATTTACTCCCTCAATGTTCTTGGTGCTAGTCGGGTGCAGTTGTCCATGAGCAACCAAGTCCCAAAATGTGGACAATCGCAGCACAAGGGCATCATGTAAGCTACCTGGCTGACCTGCATTAACATTCCAGAACATGCCTCTGCCATCCACAATGCCCTGGAGGATTATGGAATGCCAACCTTTCCTATTGACGTAGTCTGTGTGGAATTCCTGTGGTGCTATTATTGGGATATGGGAACCATCAATGGCACCCACACACTGAGGAACCCCCCACCTGGTCTCAAAATAGTCAGCCATTTCCTGTAGCTTTTGCAGAGTTGGAAAAGCAATAACCTCGGCAAGCAAGATTTTACAGACAGCCTTACAGAAGTCCTGCACACAGCGGCACACAGAGGTCGTGCTGACACCTAAAAGAAGCCCAATGCTCCTGTATTCACTGTTAGTTGCAGGCTTCCACAGTGCAATTGCAACTCTTTTCCTGAGTGGCACGCAGGCTCTGAAGTTGGTGTTCTTTTTATGCATGGCTGGACAGAGCTTGGAACAAAGATATGAAAAGGTCTCTTCTGACATTCGGAAATGAGTTATCCAATCTGACGAAGTGAAGTTTGGCATGGTCACATCCCAGAAGGCACTGGCACGGCTGAAGGCCCACACAGTTGGGTGCCGTCGCTGATTCAAAAGAGCCAACTAAAAAAAATAAATTAATTAAAACAGTCATAACACAGTAAAAGTTAAAACAATAGTGCGGTGAAAAAGATTGAAGCAGTATGGTTATAGACATAAAGTTCACATAAATAGAATTTGTTTAAGGTTAAAATAACAGCTGTTCTTTATGGAGCTACCAGTGACTGGCTATGTTTTGTTCACTTTATTAAATGCACAAAAGTGGTATTGCTGGTAATTATCTATATAATTAATTACAATAATTTAAAAATAGCTGCACAACTTATCTATGACATGCCCAGGAAGTAAAGAGTGAAGGATTCAGGCCCTCGTGTTGACTAGTGTCCATGTGTGCAGAAGCTGTTTGAAACCTGCATAGTTAGGTGTTGGCCTTTCATGTTTAGCATGTCTTAAAAATGATCAATATACAACCAAACCATTTGATTTTGGTGCTTTATTTAGTTTTTCTTTTTTGATAGTTGCCCTAGACACCCCCTCAGAGATTATAACGACGTATTACAGCATTAGAAGTTACTTACCACCTGGCGCCTCCGTCGTTGTCTCAACAGTAGAAAGTTATGCCACGTGTCCGATATTAATTTCAGAAAGCGCCGTCGCCTTTCAGCTGCCCTCCTCCTTGATGCGCACAGCATAGCTCTAAATGCTATCGTGATGTGGGTGTAAAGAATATACCAAACACCAAGAACAGAAAGAACGCGCTGCTGACTGGACTCCATTGTTGTTGTGTTTTGGTGCGATCTCGTCGTGCTGTGTGACGTTAAGGCACACATCGCGCGTGACGCATTATGCCAACCCGCCTAGTAACTGGAGCCTGGAATGCGATAGAATCTCTTGCCAGAAAACTTCTAGACCCATGCCGGTACATACCGGTCCATAATACCCAGACCTGACCGTTCCAGACCAGGCGATGGAAAAGAGCTATTAAACAGCCATTGTAATCAAATGAAAATTAACATTTCACACAGCGTTGAAAGCAAAAGTAAGGATTTTGAAGTTTCCAGCTAAGCGTTCTTTCTTAAGTGTGCTGGGACTTGGGATCTTTTTTTTCTTTCATTCCAACCTAAAAGTTAAAACTAGCCTTTCATTTCAGGTGCATATACACCTGTTTATCGGCTGCATGACAATAAAAAGCAATCTTGTGCTTCCTTAAAGTAGACCGTAGAGGCAGCAGGTATATAAAAAAACAAAGAACCTCGGATCAAGCCCTGTGGAACCTCCAAAGACAAAAGTGTAGAGCAGGGGTATTCAATGCCTGAGGGGCCAGTATCCAGCACTTTTCAGTTTTAACTCTGTTTCAACACACCTGATTTCAATCAGCAGGTGATTAGCAGGCTTCTGCGAAGGCTGATGAGCTGCTGCACAGGTGATTAAACCACTGGATCAAGTGTGTTGGAGCAGAGAAACCACTAAAACGTGCTGGATACCGGCCCTCCAGGACCGGAAGTGAATACCTCGGGAGTACAGGATGAATGGAATTTCAGAAACTTCTCTGAGCCAGGTACAAAGGAGATAAAAAAATGTTATGGTCCACTGTAAAATCTAAAAACAGGCAGAGTCAGTGGCAAACAAGACATGACAGAGTCATGATGCAGACATTGAGGCATTCATTTTGTCACCAAGTTTGACAGAATTAGCAAACACTACACATCAGTGATTGGACATCAGTGTCCGATAGTGGTCCTCGAGGGCCACCTTCCCTACTTTAACAGACCTGATTTTTATCTCTGAATGATTAGCATGCTTCTTCAGAGACTGATGACATCCTAAATTAGACCACTGAATCAAATGTGTTGGAAAACAACCAAAACATGCTGGGTGACCCCCGAGGACCAGGACTGGTCACCACTGCTGTGCATGTCCTGAGAGGAAGATTATTTTATTGCTGTTGAAGTGAAAGGGTTCAGTTATAAGAGGAACCTTTTATTAAATTCCCTTCTTCTGCTTTTTTTTATACTCACACTTGTACTATTTCTTTTTTCTCTTTTAGATGCCTTTGCAGACATTTTTCCTCCTCTAGAATGATAAGTCATGGTATATTAAAAGAAGAGCACTTGCTTGAAAACAGACTTAAGAGAATGGCAAAGAGGCAGTAATAAAGAGGGAGTGATAGACAGAGAAGAGGAGGGTTGTATGATGAGTGTGAAAGCTGTGGAAATTTGATGACCTTTCACGCTTCAGCCCCATATAGGCACAAGAAATGAGTGGTGAAGCAGGTGGAGAATGCCTCACCTTCTCTGAGGTAAAGGCCCATTGTCAGTGGCTTCCACTGTCAAAGCGTAGTGCCGTCCAACGGTGAGCTTGACGCCTTGTGACACGGTGATAATCCCAGTGCTGTGAAAAAGGGTTATTAAATGTACATTTATCAACTCAAACCATGCTTTTAGTTAACATTTCATGTTTTAGCAGGTTTATTTCACCACACAGAACTGATAATTGGCAATTTTCCTCGTGGAAGTTAAAAGACAGTGCAGTTTTAATAATGTTGCTATAATCTCTCTGGAGAAAACATGCAAATATCTATCTATCCACCTGTCCATCTATCCATCCATCCATCCATCTATGCATCCATCCATCAATCTACAATTGTTCTTGTCAGTCTTGATTAAATCCTTGCATGTTTGTAGAGTTAATTAGCTTATTAGAGTTGGGCACCAACTTGGGAGAAAAATAGAAATTCTCAGTCCGGCATTTAGGACACACGCTGTCAGGTGAAGGCAGATCCAGTCAGGAAGACAGGACACCATGTTGAATGCCCCAACACCCCTGACTAAGGAGCAGATGATGCAGTTTTTAGACCTTGCTAAGTAGTCCCCCGTAATGCAGAAAGGACCCAGCCCCTTTACACATTTCACTTTTCTGCAGGATTTGACCCCGAGCTACAGAACTATAGGGAAATTATTGTAAAATTATAATTTTTAAGTTCTCTGGTATATAGACTGTTGTAAATTGCCTCATGGATAGCTTCTGCTCAATATGATTGAAGAACTGTAAAGAAAGTGCCTTACAAACTCTTTAACCCCTTTAACTGAAACAGCCTTTGTAAATTTAAAATGGGATATATTCATTCTAACACAACTCTGGTTTTGTCCTGCGGGGACAGTTTAGCTGTGCGGTAGCTAATCTGCATCCGAGGACACCTTTTGCTACTGGATTAAGATTAAAAATGTAACTTTTTCTCAAGATGGTCTCTATTTTACTCTTGGTAAACCTGTTCCTTTATGGAATGTAAACTTCAGCTCAGCTCAGCTCATGAAGGTTCTCAGCCCAATGTTTACATTGGCAGTAGGGCTGTCGCGGTAACCGCAAAAATGAAATATCGCGATATGAAGAAGCCCACCGCGCTGCATCATGCGCCACCGCGATTACTGAACTTGGTTCAACTCAATGATGCATGTTGAAAAGGATGGCTGCACTGGTATCAAAACGAAACGTTACTTCGCTCCTGTGGGAGCACTTTGGTTTTCAGTATGTCAGCTGCTGCGCAGCCAGAGTCCTTGGCCGAGACAGAGCTGCCACCAGCGGCAAAAATAAATAAATAAATGCTCGGAGACCTGCTGAAGTCCCGGACAAGCACTGCTTCTGCAGCCGTCCCAAAGAGAGTTTGAGCCGAGCTGGAGCTCACTCGCTACCTGCAGGAGGAATGCATCCACCCTAAAGAAAACCCCCGTGACACGGTGGAGCAACAACCGGGAGAGATTCCCTTTGCTCGCCAGAGTCGCACGCAAGTACGTGTGTGTTAGTGCAACGAGCGCACCATCCGAGAGGGTTTTCAGTGTTGCTGCAAATGTTGCCACCCCTCTCAGATCCTCTCTCAAACTGTAGTTAACATGCTGGTTTTACTTGTGGGTAACAAGGACGTGACCGAGCTATAAATCACCGTCATTCGTGTGTGTGAAAGTGAAATGATAGTGCGCCCGCCCCCCGGCGCGCGCGCGCGCCCGGTACATGTAATTTTTATGCTTGATTTTAAACAACTAAACAAAATGGGGACTTGTTTCTTATTTGTTAGATGCTGCAGCCAAATTTGCATTTAAAAGTTTAACCTTCTCCTGAATTTTGTTGTTTTTAAGTTCAGTCGGACTGTCGGAGAAACAAGCGTTACTGCGATCTGTGTTGTTACTGCCCTTTGATCTGCATTCAGTAAAGTGTTATTAAAGAAGGCACGGCAAATTTTTACCTTTTTTAAATGTGTAAACATTATGTTTAGATAGTACTGCAATAAAAAAGGGCTGCAATAATATCGCACACCGCAATATTAAGCCACCCTGAATCACCGCAGGGGGAATTCCTCAACTGCGACAGCCCTAATTGGCAGTCTAAACACCCGAGCCAAATCTTACGAACTCTTTTACCTGTTTTCTTTGACTGATTTGACTAATCAGGTAAATGTAGAAAGAAGTGGTTTAATTTTGACCTTTGTCGTTTTCTTTGGAGTAATGAGCTGATTTTGTGAGACTTGATTGATACATTTTACAGTGGGACCTTCTGACCATTTTCACTGGTTTTGGTACTGGCTTATTTCTAAATTTAAGCTGGTTTCTTCTCACCATATTCTGTCTTAGCATTTCAGTTATTCTGTTTTATTTTATTTTACTGGGATATTTTCTTCGGTCTTGGTACTGGAATTCTACACAACGCAATGCAGTGCAATCATGGTTTCTACCAGCAAACATTTACCAGCCTCAACTATCTTCAGGTTATTAGTTCTGCTTAGTGAGGTTTTGTTTAAGTACTGCTACAGTAAGGGTGGTCTGCCATTGTTTATTTTTTTTATCACTTGCTTGTTTTGAATAGGTCAGGCAGCTAGGATTAGATACATGCGTTTAGGTTTTTATCATGTGATGTTCTAAGGGTTGTGAGAGCTAGATTTTGTTTGATTATTTTGACCTTCACCCACCCTGAAACAGACGCAGTGGCCCCAGACTGTCAGAAACTAGATTTCCTACCCTGTTCAGGGTTCATGGTTAAAACTCTGTTCTTTTCTTTAGCTGAGAGGCAATTTTTTTCTTATCTAATAGTTTTATATTATGACGAGTTCATGTTGTTTGAGTTTATTCAGTCCTGGGGCGATATATGTTAACCTTTTCTTTTCTGTGGGTGGTGTTTACATGTTTTGTTTTGACCCTAAGTCTTTAAACAATTAAGGACATCCTGACTAGTGATTTTTTCGCTTCTTCGTTTTCCTGCCATAAGCAGACTTCTTACCCAGTTGGGATTTATGGACAAAAATTATTTGAACTGCTGCTTCAAAAAGGTGTTCGGACCTTTCATATCTCTAGAAACTTCCTGTTAACTGAGTCTTGTCAACCATTGATGGGTTATTTAAATTACTGGTGTAGGTTAGTTTAATATATCATGGAACCTGAGTTAATGATTGTATTTTCATGTGGTTTATTGATAAAACTGAGCCATATTTCTAGCTCACTAATGGGTTACCTTACTCAGGTCTTCAGATATGACATTGTGTTTATTTTTATTATTTTATCTTTTGCTGTTCAAACAATTACGTTAGGGGGAACGCAGTGCTAGGTTTTTGTTTGTATTTCATGGTCCTTTTTAACTCATAAAAGAATGTCTCAGGGCATTTTCTGTCCATCCCAGTATTTTGTAACTCTGTAACTCGAGAGGGCCCAGCCTTCTTCGTCCTATTTGTATGCTGACCTCACATGTGTGTGTGGTCTTGATTTTAGCTTAGGGTGATACCATGTGGACTGTGGTGGTCAAGTTTCTGGTGAATTTCAGCCCCATTGGGGGTCCTGATTGGACTGATTAGAAAGAATATTGGATGGTCGTTGCTGAAGACAAGTCACATTCCACAGTGATCTTGCAGACTCTTTTGTGCTTTCTCGCTACAGGCCGTGAAACTAAGGAGATTGGGGTCCTGATGCAAGTGCTGCTACCAGATGGGGCATCAAGGTCACTCATCTCATCCCTCCCACTGCTGCGGAACTGCTGCTGATGGGACCACCATGACTGCGCCATCCTCATGCGAGCTCACTGTAACGTGAGGAAATATGGGTTTTCTGTCACAATGGTGGTGTTGGACGCAGCTGGGTCATAGCTGGGTCGCTGAGAACTTTCACCCACAGATTAAGACCTGAACGCCAGCGAGTCTGGGAGGAAACCATAACATCTCCCACCTGCAGTCTACCAGAAGATGTGTTTACATGAGTTGTACCCAGACCAAGTCAAAACATAAAGTTTAAACTTCTTTTTCGTGATTTTAATGTTAAAATAACCATTATCATTTTGCTCATTATAAATGTGTTTAATCAAATGAATGACTAGTATGCTTTGGGGTAATTATAATGGATTAATGAATCCACACTTAAGTAGATAATGTTGAATGTGTGGTACTGACCTTCACACTCAAGCACACAAACATTCACACACACCCACACACATCTGCCCACAGTAAACTCCAGACACATTTGATGACGCACATGTTTTGCTTTGAGAAGAGAGGTTTTTGGTAAGTTTTCAGTTTTATGATGCAGTTCGTGTTGGACAACGGGAGAGAACAGACCTGAAAACCAAAGGGGGGGCAGAGCCTGTTGGCTCGTTCTTCCCCCCTTTCACGCTGTTTCTGCCAAGCCAGGCAGAATAGCTGAATCGCGACTTCTAACGAAGACTCATTACCGAGTCTTTTGGTTTCTGAGTGAATTAACTTAAGAAAGCGCATCGATAAAACGCTCTACCATCCACGTGTACCGAGGGCAACTCTGGACCGGTTCCGTTCGACACCTACGTCTCCTGTCAGCCGCCGGTGTCATCTGGATGAACCACAACATCCTCCACGGCCCGGATCCGAAAGAGGGTCCACAAGAGTTCGGTGAGACAGAGCACGGTTTTAGCGTTTGATGCAGTTCTCTGATAAGACCTAAGTTTATCCAAACCATCACTTCACTCAGACACCTGTTCTTCCTGAAGCAAAATCAGACTCACACACGCATTCATGTCACAACATTCTCAATCTTCATAAATTCACCAGAAGGTCTATTTGAGCAAGAACAGCATATAAACTGTTAAAAGATTGTCCCACAAAGTTGCCAATGTGATTGTTATTTCCTGTTTGTCAATTTTCAAAATCATTAGTTTAATTTGAAGAATTAAAACTTTTAATCCTTCAAACTTGTTTCCTCATTGAACTGAAACACAGACACTCAGATATTATCGGCAGTTTATGGATGAAAACAACCTTTGAGTCTTCTGAACAATATAAAATTTGGTTATTGATTTATTAAAATTAATATTCCGAATTAATACGTAGCATGGTTTCTCTTTAATAAAAGAGCATAAATCCATAACGCTACATCACCGAGGACAGCAGA